AATATTTATCAATAAATTTATTCGTATTAATTTTTATTAAAAATAAATTGACAAATAATTTTGATGAATTTTTTTTCAGTCCCGTTTAATTCATACATAAAATTCAAATTTAAAACTTTTTTAAAGAAATGAAATCAAATATCACTTAAATTAACAATTTGTCTATTTCACTCATTTTTAGCAGAATTAATAATTTATTTTATGGGAAAAATTAATTAGAAAAAATATATAAAAATTTATTATTTAATAATGTGATTCACCATCAGTTAATTAATTAATAATATAAAAGGAAAGAGTTTTACAACAGCTTCTTTTTCTCCAAAATTTCTTTCAATAAAATAAACTAATACATAAAGTAATCAATTTACAAAAAAAAATTATATAATCAATACTAATAACTACTACATTTTACACATATAAAACTTGTCTTCAATAATTCTCTCCAATAAATATGTCTTAAATATTTATTCTCTTCAATAACTCCCTCTTAAATATTTTTACGTATAATATTATTATTATTAAAAAAAACATCATAAACAAATATGTAAACAAATATATGAAAATAAAATGAAGAAAATGGATATCATATATATTTATATATTATATCAAAATTAATAGTGTTTATTGAGTGACATTAATTATTTTGTAGTAAAGGTCTAGGTAGGTCAAGTCATAATTGACACATGACGCTTAGACTGTTACGATTAAGTAAAAAGAATTGTGTTTCGACTATATTTTTTAGCTTAATAGTAAGTGTTCGATTCAACAAATGAAAATTTTTGGATAAAATTATTTTAATAATTAGTAATCATTATTAAAATTCTGTAATAGTATAAAGTAAATTGTTACTCAACATAAATAAATAATAAATAAAATATCAAAATAAAAGAAAATTTTTAGATAAAAATATTTTAATAATTAAAATTTATATATCAAAATATTTTTTGAACTAAAATTATAAGCAGCAAAACTATAACTATTACTTAGGATTATATACTCACGATATCAGGAAATTGCCTATCAATCTAATTTCAACAAAGGATAGTTCTCTATTATGATACATTTTTTCTTACACATGTTTGTCTCTATTTATATTATGTTTGTTTTTCTTTTTTCCTTTGTTTTCATGCAAAAAGTGTAACAATCTGTCATGATCATCACACTTATGAATCATAACTACAAGTAACAGAACTACAACTATTACTTAGAATTATATACTTATGATATTAGGATACCCTTGGAAGCTCATACAGCTACCATGTCAAAATCTACATTCAGTCTCATATATCAGGAAAATAGTCTCTACTTGACTTACGCTCGACATCACTTCACTAGCCCTTAACATCGTCCAGGTAGATAGCCTTTACCTTAATCACACTTAGTGCCACCCAATTTAGGGCACAACATCACCAAGTTAGAGACTTTCCAATGCTCTCACACCAGATACCATTCACACCACACCTAATGTCATCCCAACTCGATATAAGTCTTTCTCCTTATGTCGGCGCCACTAATCATACACCCAACGCCACTAATCATGCGCCAACGTGATTGAGATAAAGACCTCTAGTTGGAACCCCACATGATGCCATGAAAGTGCACTCAACATCATATTAGAAATTTGCACTTACAAACTTCAAAAATTGCCTAAATTAATCCACCTAAAATCCAGAAGAACCAAGCATGCAATGCATCCAACAAGTTCTACTTATTATTCACAACCAAATTTCAAGTTCAAATAACATGCAACTCAATTTGCATCATTCACCAAAATCACCCATATAACTCAAAACACCAAAAACTCAATATGCACCAAAATCCCACCTCAAATTCATCAAATAGCCACGAATCTAAAGAAATCTAGGCACATACAATTTAATAATCCAATAAGAATTGAGTCTAGCTCTCCTTATCTCAACTCTAAGCAACCAAGAATGAAGAAGGAGGGAGAATGAGTTTTTGAGCTTTGAGCACACAAGCTCTACACTAGCCCAAAACTCTAATTCTTAACTCACTAAGGACCTAAATCAAAGTATACAAACTCATCAGTGATCATAAGGAAAAAATCGTCCAATTGAGAGAAAGTTTAGAAGAAAGAAACACACAGACCCGAAACATCTCTCTCTAGATTATTTCTTTAGAATCTAGAGAATATGAATTTATAAGGCTCAGTTCTTAATAAAAATCTTATATACTTCCTCCCATCAAAGTCAACTAAACCTCTGACCAGAGACCCTTAAAATTAATCAGACTTCTAAGAGTCCTTCAACTCTTAGAACCCCACAACACAACTTAAACATCATATACACAAGTATTGCTAAAAGTCAATAATTAAAACTTTCTACATTACAAAAAAAAAAATTAAAGTTATCATGTTTGTTTTTTTGTTGACTTTTTTTTAATGAAATTAATCCTCAAGTCATATGAAATTATGAAAGTATCGCAATAAGATAGATTTAAAAGATGACAAAATAAAATAATATATTCAATATTAAATTATAAATCAAAACTCAAAAAGTTTATACAATGACAACAAGGATAAATTTTATAGTTAACATTGTTGTTAGAAATATTGAATGGATACTTAACCTTGAGATGTGTATCATATTTCTGTAGTTGTTGTCACAATACAACAATTCCTCCAATATTGAAATGTGTTGTTATTTAATGGGAAGGTGATTTTTAAATTATTTTTTTTTAAATATTTTCAAGTTATTTATAATAAGTATCTTCTTTAATTGAAATTTCATATTAAAATATTTTACTTATGATAAATTTTTAATATTTTACAATATGTAAATATTAAGTATATATATCTTAAATATTTTTACGTATAA